AGAGCAGAAGACATGAAAAGATTAGCTGTCTTCGATCATAGGTGTCTCTGTTCTATCTCCCGCGTGAAGTGGTTTGATAAGGTGAGCAATATTGAGGTTAGGCGTCGAGTGCTAGGTAAGACTGGGAAATCAATTGACGAAACTGTGAAATTACATCGACTGAGATGGTTAGGACATGTGTTACTCACGCCTAGCCTAGTCATCGCCTTCCTCGACGGGCAATGTTAGCTGACATAGGGTCAGGCTGGAAAAGAGCTATTGGTGGTCAAACGAAAACATGTCACCAGTCAATGAAATCCACAACAGTTAGTTTAAGCTAGCCACGTAGGAAGGTGTAGACTTCCTGACTAGTTGGGGTCCTCGGGACGGTGAAAACCAATGGTTGGAAACAATTGGTGATATGGCTCAAAGTCGTTCTCAGTGGCGAAAATGCATCCACTCGTTGTGACTTATGATTTCCAATTAAACTGTTTTGTTCTTCGTTATTACTATACCTTTTTCTCACACCTCTATTGACTGTCTATATTATGCATTTCTCCTACTTTCTTCTCTTGCTTTGTGTGCTACATGGAGGGAGTGTGGCGACTTGAACTGGCGCACATATGTGCAAAGTTCTATGTCGAAAACCAACCGAATTTTCACTAATGTATATAAATGAAGTAAAAAGTTGTGTGAGTGAGTGACTTGATATGAGATTATGAGCAGTAATAATTTGTGCTCGAAACGTCGTCATCAGTTAATATTACTGTATAACACCACTGTGTGATTTATCAAAACAAGTTTTATGCTTATATCCATGAGACAAGTATGAAAAAAACCAGGGAGTACTGTTATGAACTCGTCGCCAATATTATTGTGGTATGACCGAGTGTAAATATACGCTAATGAGATATGACGTACGGCCGATAACGTACAGACTGGTATCGCTGAGTAGTTGATTTGTCCTGACGCGAAGAGGAAAATCAGAAGACCACCACGTTCACGAATGGATACGTGTATGTTTCAACAAAGAAAATTAGCTGTCACACAAGAGTGTGAGGGGAAAAGTAACAAAGTACGAAAAGTGTACGAAAGTGTGAATTAACTGTACAATACAACAGTATATATGAAAATAACTAACATACATGAACAAATAAGATTGATTAGTAATTTTTCTTACCACTACTGGATTCTGATTGGTTGTAATGTCATGTGACAAAGGTCATACATTGTTTATTTATACGAGTTGATCACGGATTGATATCAGCTAGAGAACCATTGAAAATCAGCATTGGAGTACTGGACAGCCGGCTGTTTCGTCCTAGTTTGGGAACCGTCAGCAGTACGCACCCGCTGGGGTTCTCTAGCTGATATCAATCCGTGATCAACTCGTAAAAACAAAACTAATTCTTACAAACTAAACTATGGAAAATTGTTTATTTAGTTAATGGACAGACAAAATCTATATTGTCAGTTATCATGGAAAAACGATCAATATACACATAGTAAAAATACACCAACCAGACTGTTCAAACAGAGTAGACATCACGTGACTACATATCAAGCACAAGACAGCTGTTTCGTTCCGATTTGGAACAGAACATATCCAACATTTCACAAAAGGATCCAACATAAGACAATGACGACCAGTGACAGTCCATCATCAGGTCGGATGTTAGGACAGATAATCACGAGTGAAGTTGGCTACTAATGGTTTCAGTGATGATATAAATAGGAAAATTGCCAGAACTCAGGATTCATAAGTCATCAGATTTGTTCTCATTGTCTGAATAGTCTATTATTATTATTATTGTTTCCTTTAATTCCTAGAGGAACATAGGGCTTCAGTCACACGTCTCCATTGCGTTCGGTTCTCTGCTAGAGTCTTCACCTGGCTCCAAGTCTGCCCACACGTTTTCATCTCCTCTTCACATGATCTCCTCCAAGTCACCCTTGCACTAGCGACCAACTCGCCGCTTCCCTTCCGGCCGGATTCCACTTGAGCAATGGCTTGTCTAGTGATGTCACTTGATGACTTGTTTCCTCAGGGTATGGCCAGCCAATACATCTCCATTTCCTCCTGCCTATTTATTTCACAATCGATTCCTGCTGGGTTGGTTCGCTCATTGCCAGAGATCTCTGTTGCTGATCATTTCTGGCCGGCCATTTGATCTTGAGTATTGAGCGAAGACAACTGTTAATGAAGGTCTGTAGTTTGTTTGAGATGCTCTTTATGACGCGCTGGCCGTATAGCAAGTAGCATTGACTTCACATTGGAGTTGAAAATCCGGATGTTATTTTTGATGATGAGTGCTGTTGACCTCCACACAGACTTGAGAGTAGTGAAAGCTTGTCCTGCTTTCCCGATTCTTGCTTTGATATCCTCGTCAGTTTGGTTCACCTGTAGTTGAAACAAAGCTTCCCAGGTATGTGGGTAAAGGAGGTTGTTTCTTTCCGGTTCCTTCCATTTTCGCTGGTTGTTGTCTGTTGTTGTCGTTGTGGCTGTTGGTGGTGTTTCCCAGGAATCTTCATCATTTCTGTTTTCTCTATGTTCACCTGAAGGAAGTCCTATCTTTGATACTTCTTCTGCCAACTTGTTGCTTTTCGCTTGCATATCTTCCAGTTTGTTGAAAATCAGACGAATATCATCGGCGAAGTCCAGATCCTCCAAGTTTTTTGCGTGAGTCCATTTCATGCCTGTTTCCTCATTGGCCGCTGTTTGTCGCATTATCCAATCTACTGCAATCAGGAAAATCATTGGCGATAGTAGGCAGCCAGCTTGTCTTACTCCTGTCCTCACTTCGAAGGATTCCGTTACCACTGCGCTATTCAGGCTCGCGATCGACCTCCTGTAGTTGTGAGCCTACGCTCCTTTGTAGTATGATTCCTTCTCGTCATGCATGAAAAATTCATACAATGTTTTTGAGTTACAACTCAGGCGTGTAGAATTCTTCTTCAGAAGGTTAAAAGACTTTGTATGAAGGTTAGAAGATCTTGATAAAACTTTAACAGTCATTGATTTATTCCTAAAAAACATTTTAAAGACTCAATAACTGGAATAGTCAACTTTTAACCGGTAAGCCTTTCAAGTTTGCACGCCGTACTATTCCACTTGAACTTGGGCAAGTAAAAAAAAACATGACCAGCCCTCCTTACACACTTGATGTATCCGGTTTTTAGCGTGGTAAATACATTCCAGCATAATAAATTTCTTTATAAGAAAACGTTGAGGTTGGCTAGTAATGGAGCTACATTTAGAGAAATAGTAGAACCAAGATCAGTATAGACTGTCGGACCCCGTCTCGGTGCTTCAATGGTCATGGTGAGGTTTTTCAAGTAACATGAAGACCTTGTGTTCGATCCCTAACGCTGGAGCCATGAGTGCATAGACCTGAAGAGTCCCAAACTTGGAGGAAGAAGCTGTCCAGTATTCCCAAGTTTTCAGTGGTTCTCCAACAGATGTCAAAGTTCATGATCTTAATTTTTGCGTCAAGCTCCCGACCCTGGAGTTCTACTGAGAAGTCGTGACCAGTGGGGTCCATCCAGTCGGGAGTGAGGATGGCGTCCCAATCGATGATATTGGTTGGTGTCTGCGCTAAAATCACGAAGTGGTAGTGGCTATTGAGACGGGACCCAGTGGCTAACTGGTCTAAGAACTTGCCTTGCAACCGGAAAGTCATAATCTCGAGACCCAGTGAGTGTCTGCAACCAGTGAGTCCCAAATTAGGATGAAACAGATGTCCAGTACTCCCTGGGTTTCAATGGTTCTCTAACTGGTATCAATCAGTGGTCTAACCTGATGTATATATATGTATATATATTGATGTCGAAATTGGAAAGACAAGTGCAACGTATGCTTGGAGAATTTATGCTATATAAAAGTTATGTAGATGATCCACTCATTATTGGTAATAATAGTAAATCTATTGAAAACTTTATTACTCTATTCAATAATATTCATCCGAATATCCGAGTGACTTCCGAACTCGAATCGAATAACAAACTTGGTTTCCTGGATATTACAGTGACCAGGGGAGACGATGGAACGATTAAGAGTTCTATTTTTCGTAAACATACGTGGAGTGGACAATATCTTCATTTTACCAGTTTTGTTCCTATCCAGTATAAACGTTCTCTAGTGAAATGTTTGTTCCCAAAGCCCCGAAAAATATGCACGAGCGACACATTGATGGATGAGCTCCGAAATATGCATGCAGTTTTATTAGCTGATGGTTATTCAGAAAACTTACTTTATCAATTGTCACAGTAAGGATGGGGAACATCTTGAAAAGACAACTACTGTACCAAAGAAAGCTATCTTTATTAACCTACCATTCAAGGGTGATCAGATTATGCACTTGACAGCTCAAAGAATTCGGTCAGCCATCAAACGCACATTCTACGCCGCACCTCTTTCCCTCACAAGCTGAACATTTTCGATCCCTGTACCTACGATTAAAGGACGATATTCTGTGGACTCTACTCCAAACTGTATCTACAAGTTCACCTGCAGCTGCGGTGACACCTATATAGTTAGAACCAACAGAATGTTCCAATGTCGTCGAAAGGAACATGTTCCAAAATGGCTACTAAATCATATAGAAAATTCCAACGCGATTAATCTTCATAGAAATCCAGCATCATCCATTGCAAAACACTTGTTAATGTAAGGTCACAAAATCAATTATTTCACATAACTCTAATTCAAAGTTGGTTATTGAAGGTGATGAAAGCACTTTTGAGGATTGATCACATACATCCTAAACTGTGTGTACAAAAATCAATAGACTTCAATATCAATATCGCCTACCATGAAATGACTACTTGACCTATTAAAATATGACTGGTCATTAGTATGTACTTTTGTTTTTTTCTTATATAACTGAGTAATTGTCATGCCCTTTATTTTTTTTATTATTGTTAACCATGTTAGTTGTAAAGCGGTTGTAAAGAAACTACGAAATGAAGATATAATCTCGCGAAATTTGTCTTCTTAATGCCTTATTCAAATCAAGCTTTTGTTAATCTTTTAATGATACTCTCCATTTTAATGACGATGACGATGATGATGATGACGGCAAGATGTGTACACAGTAACACATAGATCGACTAGATGAACTATCTTCTTTTGTAAGAAAAAAGGCGCTCACAAAACAGCAAATCTTGTTTTCAAGTATTGGTTAGTAGGGATTTGGTTGATTGGTTACAGGATTTCATCATGAGCTGACATTGGTTAGTGAACCATTGGAAAACCACCAGGGAGTACTGGACAGCTGTTTCGTCCTAGTTTAGAACTCTTCATCAGTATGCACCCACCTGGGTTCGAACCCGGTGCTGACTGGCGACTTGCCCTATTCAGTTAGGTAGTTACCTGGGGTTCCAATGGCAAGTCGTGACCAGTAGGGTGCAGCAGGTCGGGTGTGAGGACAAATACTCGCCGAAGACATTGGCTAGGGGTCGCACTATGTCGTGAATTGGCAGAAGTTAGAATTCATGGGCCATTGGATCGAGTCCCAGTTTCTTAATGGTACACGAGCTCTCCTTGTAACCAGAAGATCCTAAGTTCGAACCCCGGTGGTTACGTACTGCTGAGGAGTCCCAAACTAGGACGAAACAGTTTTCCAGTACTCCCAGGTTTTCCAATGGTTCTCTAACCAATGTCAGCACATGATGAAATCCTGTAACCGAATCTAGTTTTCTTTCCATCAATATACACATCAATATAAACATATTTTAAAAGAAGGGAAAACCAATTAACATTTGAGAGAGGAGGAGAGATAGAGACAGAGACAACATAAAAGCGAGGAACTTACAGTTGTAATATATTTTTGATGGTATATCATTCACAGTACATTTATCAGATAATGGAAGAAAATTATCGATCCACCATTTTGTATAGAGATCAGAATAACCCATTGTCGATGATAATAATAATGTACGACCTGTTGCATAAGCCATTTGAAAACAATGCATTAAATGATGCGTATTACAACCGAATGCACATGGTCGATCAAGTGTAGCTATAACATATTTCGCTTTTTTACAATCAACAGGATTCTAAAAGATAAGCGAGAAAAAAACAGAGAGAAAGAAACATTTTTAAAGAAATACGTTGGAGGCGAGGGAAGGAAGGGGTTATTAAGAAAGCCTCTAATCATTATATTATTATTATTCCCTTGGGTTCTGAGTGGATGGTACATAGGGGGGCTTCAACAACACATTTCCGCTTTCTTCGATTTTCTGCAGCCTTCTTCATCTGGCTTGTGCATAATCTCTCATCTCCTCTATGTCACATTCGCACTGACTGACGACCAACTCGTCACTTCCTATTCGAATTCCACTTGAGTGATGGCGTGACTCGGCGTGCTCGTGGTTGTCCTCTGGGTGAGCGGAATAGATTACTGTCTCTCCAGTTGATAGTTGGCACCTTCCACATCCGTTCCATCTCCTCTCGCAGATTCCATACCTTCTCATTTCTGCGACTACCTGGGCAGCCTTTCCAGTTTCGAACATTGTACGAATATTCCACGTCCCCATCCTTATTTTTGCTTTCATCGAAAGGAGGCACATAGGCTGACTGGTTTCGTGGAGGCTTTTACCAGCCTGCGTCATTTCACTTCCCCGATTCGAGCGAAAAATAAGGTTATTGTTTATATTTTTGGAGTTTTTAATATATTTGTGCGTTGAAGTTTCTGTAGCAATTTGGTAAAGTTTTGGGGGTGGAGTTGCTAGCACCACGCCCCAACCCTCCCTCTTTATGCGGGCTTGGGACCGGCTATAAAAAATTGCGAACTAGAAATCTAAGCAAGGCGTGACTAACGCGCGATGTCTTTCAATAACCTCTTCATTGGCGTATGCAACAGGCTCAGGGTTGGTTTGTTCCCATGCAGAGTTTCTTGTTTGCTAATTCTTTCTAGCCGGCTGGCTGGCTGGCCTGCCATTTCATCATCTTCAGTATTGAGCCGGCGATGAGGGCAGCTGTAGATAAAAGTCTGCAGTGACCTGTTGGGAATCCTTTTCGTGACACGCAGTCCAAGTTTCTGACCCCATAAAGACGAACTGACTTAACATTTGCACTGAAAATCCAAATCTAGAACCTCAGTTTTCCTTTGTGAGTCATCTGACATGTCGGATTGTCAGCTATCCAGCTGTTGAATGATGTTGATAAAGATTCAGGCACTGCATGCCACAGTGTTAAATGGAGAGAGAGAAAGAGAAAAAAGTGGAGATGTATCGGGCATACGTGTATATGAGGAGGCCGTCGAATGGAATGAAATGACGCGTTAACCAGTTCATTGCTCGAGTGGAATCCAAATGGGCAGTGACGAGTGGGTCGTCAGTCAGTGCGAGTGTGACATCAAGGAGATGGGAGATTATAGTGAATCATAGACCCAGCTGAAAAGGACGGCAGAAAACAGAACAAAGTGCAGTGGTGTTGTTGTTGAAGACCTATATTCCACTCGGAACCCAAACGAATAATAATATAATTAAGTCAGATTACACTGAATTCAATAATGATTTAAAAAATATATAAATAAACTATATATATATATATATATGCGTCGGCATGTGGCTAGCAACCGCATGCTGTAAAAATAAACACTGCTACAGAAACTTCAAGCCACTAGCTTGAAGCCCCATGTTCCACTGGGAACGTGAAGGAATAAATTATATATATATATATATATATATATATATATATATATATATATAGTGGTTTCATTGACTCCTTATTTGCACTGACTGTTGATTATGACCAAATTCAGGCACTAACTGATGCCTTTCGATAAGCTAAATTGCATTATTCAGCAAATCCTACTTTTAAAAACCAAAAATATTCAAGTAGATTATATATATTGAGATATGACCAGTGTATCTACCAGTTAACCTAATTAGGTAGCCGCAAATTGGCTCTTCAAGCTATGCTTAACCCCGGGTGTACACATCTGACAAGTTCAGTTCTAAACGAGAGGAGTAACGGCTATCTGATGTTTAGACTACTGAGATAACAGGTTGCCAACTACTAATTTTTTTAAAATTATAGCTTGAAACCACACAGTTTTTTTCTTGGTACAAGTATGGAATTTTCAGCATGTGATATCGGTAGCCCAAATGTTTTGCAGGCCGACCATTGAGATATGAGGTGTGCATCGGCAGGGGATAGAACCCCGGACCATGTGCATGGTCGATGAGAGTATTAACCGCTATGCCACCAACGCACAATTAGTAGTACATAAGAATCGTAACCACTAGTACAGAATTCTACATTCCGATTATTTATTTCTATTTGTAGTATATTCCCGGTCATCTGTTCAAACAGAATGGATAGATTTCTGTGTAGACAAATATCCTTGACTAGAATTTTTGGTAATTTCCTGAATGAGATAAAACACACGTCCTGCATTTCACACAGGTGATGAAGATTTCCAACGGACAATTATTGTTATTATTATTGTTCCCTTGGATTCCTAGTGGAACAAAGGGCTTCAACTACACGTCTCCACTTGCTTCTGTCTTCTGCTGTACTTTTCACTTGCATCCATATTAGTCCATACTGTTTCAGCTGTTCTCCACACAATCTCTTCCATGTCACCCTTGCACCGACGAACCAAACGCCGCTTCCCTCCACGGTTCCACTCGAGCGTTGGCCTGACGCGCGATGTCACTCAACGGCCTCCTCAGCCAGCGAGTGTCCAATCCATCTCCACTTCCTCCTGCATATTTGTTGGGCGATTGGTTCTTGTTTTGTTTGTTCCCATAGTTTCTTGTTGGTGATTCTTTCCGGCCGGCCATCTGATCTTGAGTATAGAGCCAGCGAAGACAGTTGTTGTTGATAAAGGTGTGCAACAGGCTGTTGGAAATATTCTTTGTGACCCGCCGTCAAGTTTCTCATCCATCCGTATAGAAGAACTGACTTGACGTTTGTATTGAAAATCCGAATTTTGTTGTTGATACTGAGTGACGAAGATTTCCAGATTGGTTTCAGGTTGATGAATGTGTTTCTCGCCTTTCCGATTCTCGATTTGACATCCTCGTCCTTCCACCTGCCTGTAGTTGAGACAATGCTCCCTCCCTAGATAAGTGAATGAAGTAACCTATTCCAAATCCCTTTCGTTGATGGTGATTGACGCTGGATGGTGCTGCTGCTGCTGTTGTTGTTGTTGGTTGGTTATTTTCACAATCTCCGTCTTGTCTATGTTCACCTGGAGTCCTGTCTTCTCTGGCTGCTTCTTCGACCAGTTTGTCGGTTTTCGCTTGTAAGTCTTCGATTTTGTGTGACATCAAACATAAATCATCCACTCGCGAAATCCAGGTCTTCTAGGTTCTTCACGTCGGTCCAGCACAATAACAATCACCAATTACTATCAATCAAAAAAAATTTCAAAGAAGCCATTTCGTTCAACCTATTTAGACAGTGTTGTGTTTTCAACTACAGACGGCATGAATGAAGATGTCAACCGTAAGATCAAAACAAAAAGAAAGCCAGACACATTCTCATTGGTCTAATATCATGGAACGAAATCAGCTATGTTAAGCCCATAAAGAAAGAACAAGAGATTCAGATTTTCAACACTAATATCAAGTCAGTTTGTTATTCTATATATAGTACAGAGATTTGGAAGGTCTACTGAAGCATTTCCAACAGGAGTGATAGAAGAAGACTTTATCAACAGTTGCTTATTTCGCTTTATATTGAAGATTAAACGGCCAGAAATGATTAACGACATGGGATACTGGTAGACAACAACAAACCAACCAATGATCTATTGTCAAACAAAATATTCCGAAAGAAATGCAAATTGATTGGATACACACTGTGGAGACCGTTGAGTGATATCACACACGTCAGCAAGACCCTCGAGTGGAAACGGAATGGGAGACGTTAGCAGATGGGTATGGCCTAGAAAATGACATGCATGAGATCTTGTGAGGAGATAAGACCTTATGGGCAATCACGAAGCCAGGTAGAAAGAACTGCACAGAACAGGATGAAGTGAAGATGGGCTATTGAAGTCATATGTTACACTCGGAAGATTTGATCTCAGAGAAAGCTAATGACAGAGAGTTATGGAGATACATGGAAAACGCGAAAGGAACACAAAGAAACACAATATAAAGGTCAGACATAACAAAACACCGAAGATCTGTGCAAATGGTGCATTGAAGATAAGCTATACCTTATTTGGCCATATAGAGATACCAGATTCCAAATAAACATACCTTAACCAAGTCCGTTACAGTAGTAGTGGGGGTGAAGCTACCGATGGAATCCATGACTCGCATCTCCATCCTATGTGGAGCTCATCAGAATGATGTAATTGCTAACCACTGGGTCATTGCGTTCCTAGTGGTTTGGTGGATAATGCCTTGTTTCGGATCCCACTGGAAATACTACCACCCACCTCACGTTTCAGATACAGGTACATTTATTTTGATTGGACATTAGTAACTAGTGTGACGTATCTAGTCCTTTCTTTGGTGCAGCCTGAATTCTATCAGTCAGGTATTTGCAATGTGGCCACCATTCTAGGTAGCTCGCCATTACGGTGCACATTGATTTGATGATATTCGATGGTTGCAGGCAATCGGCCACAGGAAGCCCTTCTTAACCTAGGTTTCGTGCTAGTTGGCACTCACCACCCAGTCAGCAAGGCGTATCTGGAACCTTGAAGGAACTCATGTCCCTTCTGAGATTCGAACTCGAGACACCCAGTGCTGCAGTCAGAGACGTTACCACTGAGCTATTTGGGCTCGCAAAGAAAGGACTAGATACGTCACACTAGTTACTAGTGTTCAATCAAAAATATTCTAGTACACTCCCACAGGAGGTCAATCGTGCGTCCGAATAGCTCAGTGGTAACGTCTCTGACTGCAGCACTGTGTGACGCAGATTTGAATCTCAGAAGGGACATGAGTTCCTTCGAGGTTTCAGACACGCCTTGCTGATGAGTGCCAACTAGCACGAAACCTAGGTCCTGGCAAGGCTTCCTGCCGATTGCCTTCAACTATCCAATATCAACAGGTTCATTTAGTAGACAAGAGCCAAGTAGGCTGAG